CGCTCCTAGTTGAACAAACTTGCGGCATTTTTTAAATGTTTGCTTGTTTATAAAGTTTTTTTGTTAGTGGTTAAATGAGTGTAGTTTGACACAAGAGTATTTGTTAATTAGTATTTTAATAAGTATCTGATATTTCTGGTCTATAAAAAAAATACTTGTAACCGGACTGTTATGTTTTAAATCTTATACAAAAAATAAGTGTGCTTTGTTTTTCAAATTTTTTGTTTTTCATAGAAAACTAGAGTTAAGTTGACTCTAGTTTGTAATGTCATCTCATTCATAGGATTTTGTTGAGCTTGGGAAGGTGAATCTTTTGGTATCTAAGTGACGATTAAATACTAGATAAAATTTTGCTTCTTCTAAGTCTAGAACGAGGTTTTAAAAGCTATTCTACAAGGTTGAAAAAATTAAAAATTTTCACCCTGAATTTATTTAATGCCAAAGGACTGTAGTTTTTTATCACGTGCTTATAACTTACCAATGCAGTTTCTCGAACCAGCACTAAATGGAATAAAAGCATAAGGATGAGAATGCCGGGACCTATTTTCTGAAAGAAATCTGTCAGGATCAAATTTATTTGGTTCAGGAAAATATTTTGGATCAAGATGAACGTCTTTTATGAAAATAAAACATGTTTGACCAGCAAGAATTTTGTGACCGTCTAAAAAACAACAACAATCGATAGACTTATGACAACAACATGTAAACAATAAATTAATTACTGTATGTAAGATCTTCTTGTGCTAGGCGACTAATCGACGGAACTGATGGTAATAAACGTAACGATTCCTTAATATAAGGAACTTTTTAGATAAATTTTAGAGGTTCTTTTTCTGGATTCGATCTTCCGATCCTTAAGCAAAAATCACCTATGGCAAAAATCCTTAAGCAAAAATCACTAAATACATTTCGGGCGATACAGGACCACTTGCCATCTCGATTACTAGTTGGAAAAGGGACTTTTAACTAGATGCATCTGTATGTGCAACTAGCAATAATTAAATCTATCGATTATCGAGAGATAAACTGTTAGTTGCAGCTGAGGAGAAATCTATCAATCGTCCGATCACTAGATTTTCATTATCATTACCAAATAATTGTAATCTAGATAAATCGGCATTAGACATTTTTTTAATATTTGGAAAACTTCATACGTTGTACTTCATCTACGCATTTTCCCATTGTACTAAATTGTGCAGAAGGAAACTACGAGTTATGATGATATGTTCATATGAAGGCCGTCCACTTTACAAGTGATCATTTACGTGTTACTGGCTATACTGTACATAAATATCGATCTTATTTCTATCGTCGGCACGAAGTGTACAACGCACAGTGGGCATTTTTTGCTAGAGCAAGCGGACTTTAGCTTTATGAGTGAACTAAAATTTCATGAACCATCTTTTTATAGGTTTTTCATGATCCTCTTTCTAATGGCATGAGAGTTGGATTTT